CCCCAAAACCCCAAAACCCCAAAACCCCAAAACCCCAAAACCCCAAAACCCCAGTCCTTTCTCTTCCGGTTGAATTAAATTTAGCTTAGGGATGAGCTTCCTAAAGTATAAATATGTTAGATTTTAAGGCTTTAGGCATATTTTTAGTAGTGTAATGGCTAGAGATAGACCAGAGATTGTCGATGTAATTGTGCAAGTTCAGATTATTACGATTAATGAGTTGTTATAGTAATGAAGGATACTAGTTTGATATAATTTTAAGATTGATAATCTCGTCTATTGCAAAAACCCAGCACAAAGGATTTGATACTAAACTTGCACAATTTTTTAGAAAGTTGGGGAAATGATAAGTATTCTTGGATAAAATAAATTATAAACCCTATTTTTTGGTTGGTCACTTGTAAAGAATGCTTAAAAAAATTTAGAACTCAATTTGCTTCAAAACTCTGAATTTATGAAGAGAAGTATTATTAGCTACAAGCTTAGCCTTGGATGTGACCAATGCAACTACCGCAACTACTGCAGTAGTGCTTTCCTGCTTTAAGATTGTCTATACAGAAAGGAATGCAGCAGCAACACCATAATCCAACTACGCAAATTATTAAGCAGAGGATCCATTGCAATGGACTATTTTCTTCTTCAACTCTGGTGTGGGTGACCTGTCCACAACTGGGGCATTCACAGAACACAGAAGTGAGAACTCCTCTGAACATTGCTGGAGTCACTTTAGGAGCTACTCCTCCATTTCCAAATTGATGAGGAGGATATCCCTGAGCTTGAAAATATTGAGGCTGAGGAATACCTTGGTAGGTTGGACCGCCCATAGGCTGGCTCGTTTGATACTGAGGAGGTTCAACTGGATACTGACCAGTTGTTTCCACAGGTAATGCAGTTGGATAATAAGGTGGTTGGTCTTGCTGAACCAATGGCTGACCTCTGTCTCCTGTTAAAGGTTGGTGCGAGTTATATTGATTTTGCTCCATTAAAATATTATTCCTTTTAAAATATCAATTTATCTTCTGCATCCAGGGGTTTTGGGGTTTTGGGGTTTTGGGG